GAGGTCGATGCCCAGCAGCTTACAGAGTCCCGGCCGGCTCATAAACAGTGTCCGGCTCTGTGACTATCTAGTCTTGCCTTATAACTCAAGTCATACATATATGGCAGTTTATCTCTATGGGCCTTAAGCCGCCTTTGGGCCTTGGGCCCTTTAACTAAATCGCCATCTTCAAATATCTTCATGGGCTTCATGATGATGAATCGCCATGGGTATAACCCGGCCCCTCCTGGGCAGGTCATACCTAATAGTTATATCCCCAACAATTTGAGAAACTGTTTCACTAGCTAAAATGTCATCCATTTACGAATGAAGATAGGGAGTACTAACTTTTGCTAGTGCTAGAAGAAAAAAGTTGGGCCCAAAGCCTATCTATGTTTTTCCTACTTATCCCTTCGTGTTGGACTGTAAACACTTAAGATTAGAACTCAAATTCATAGAGCTTAACTCATCAACACTAATGAGATTCCTCTAGTATGAATATGACTCATGAAAGACAAGGCCACCTTACAAGGTTAAGACTCGTAGGAGTACAAGACCTCGTCACGAAGGTGGACACAACATCAGGGGATGTGGCATGGCGGAAATGATGAGGGAACTCGACTACTAGACTTTCCTCATCGGATTCATACCAAGCATGATCTACGACCGACGATGCTTAGCTTTATCAGCTACGGGTTGCCCATGGGGTCAGGCTGCATCAACACAACCGCTGGCTCCATTTGGCCAATCTCCACCGGCGGTAGACTCAACAAACCATACCTCCTTTTAGCTCCTTGGGTGCATACAATTTATCCAACATGGGAATCAAAATCGAACCGGTCACAAAATTAGCCGAACCGCCCGACGATAAATGGTTATGGAAGATAAACACCTGGTTCATTTTGATTAGGAGCTTACGAGTAACAATAAAAAGGTTAGGGGGATATGTCAAAAACCTGATAGTTAGAGGGAATACTTTACTTTTCTGTCAAAGGCTCTAAGGCCATATATTAAATATTACAAGTCCTTACAAACACACCCTTACAGAAAAAATACATTCAAATTATTGGGGATGTGGAAGTCTTCTTCACCCTGCATCCACCGACGACGCGATGTGAGCATAACTCAATGTCGCCTCTGGGCCTCCACCTCAACGGGACAAACTTGTTTAAATCCAGGAGCTTGTAGAAGCAATGACAGGAAAATCGTTAATGCAAATGAGGAGACGCCGGTGACCGCGATCAGCGAAACAAGTTTCCGCCCTAGAGGGAAAAAACGCCGAAAAGATCCTATAGAAACTCCGATGACCAATAAAGCGATATGAATCCAAATGGATCGGGAGACCTGCTGGAGACATAGCTCCACACACCCACCGGTGCCGATGACAAGCACACCAATGAAAATGGGGAAAGGGCGAGGATGCCATTATTCATATACTAGGACATCACAACCGCCTCAAACTAGACACGAACACTCCCTAAAGAAACCAGAGACAAATCACCAATGCCACTGCATACCAGATTCGGGTTTGATGTCAAGCTCACCGCTTCCCACGACCATGCACCAACAACCACTTCTTCGGTGACCTAGCTAGACGGGGCCGCCATTGAACATCGTCATGTTGGATCACCACCAACGCCGCCGAGCATCGTTTGCCGACAACCGCACCTTGGCTACTCATCTCCGTCACCGACCCATGGCAGCCTACCAACTCCTCCAGAGTAGGCCCACCACGATCAGCAACCTCCCCGATGGCGCTGACTCTGTGCGGCCTTTTTCCCGGTGATGCACCCTGGTGACGGGGAGAAGGGGAGAAGACGGGGTGGTGGCTAGGGCTTCAGTCACCTGCCTTGACCCTCTCTCACGAAGTGTTTTCTAATGCATGCTAACGCGTAGTTAATATACTTATCTCCATGATTTCCGATGTACAAAGTTGTGTGACTAGACCTGGGTATTCCTCGGGTCGGCAGCCAAAACCTGAGCTCGGCCCGGCCCAAAACAACTAAACATTGCACTTTTCACATTAAAAATATATCATGTTAAGTATTTTGGGGGAATATATAAATATTGTCTGACAAAACCCTACTTTTGAGGCAAGTCAGGCTTTTGGGCCAAAACTGGAGCCCGAGCCCGACCCGACCCGACCCGACCCTTACGCTTCATGTTCAGGCCGGGCTGCCAATGGCCCTACAGCGAACCATTCGGCCCAGACACCGCGGCGAGCCGAGCCGGTGAATTTTCCCATCTCGGCTTCTAGCGAATCCATCTCCGGACCTTCTTCTCCATCCCTGCCTGCCTCATCGTGGACCGGCCGGTGAAGACGACGACGGTAGGAGCTCGCCCCACCACCACCCCCGACCAGGCGACTCAAACCCCAACCCCTCTTCACTCGACCGCCGCCCCAGCTCGAGCCCCACCTCGAATTCCCCTGCTGCCGCCGCTGCCGCTGTTTCCCCTTCTCCCCACCTGGTATGGCCGCGTGATCTGGCCAGGGTTTGGATGAAGGAACGGAAGCCGGCGGCCCCCTCTGCGTTGGCCCGGATCCTCGCCACCTGCGCGTCCCAGGTGCCGCTCGCTCGCTCGCTCCTCCACCCATTAATCCTCGCCGACAAGTGCGATGGTTCACTCGTTGTTACTGTAGCTACTAAGTAGTTGCCGTACCTGCTGCGGTCTTTGGGTTGCTGATACGCCAGAGCAGGATCGGGGATCAGATTTCCCTTGTAGTAGTAGTGGTAGTTTATTTTTGGTTAGCAGCAAGTGGTCACGGTGCTGGTGGTAGATTTGGGAGGTTTCCCCTTGCAGATTGGTTTGATGTTGCTGCTGGAAAGATCACGATGGGTGATAGGTTCCCGGTTGTAATTAGTGTCTCTTTGCTACTAGTTGTTATTATACCTGGTAGGTACGTACTTCGCGAAAGGTAGTTTGTTGCTACCGGATCATTGGAAGCCTGTTAAACGGTCTAATTTGACCCGTGTGGGTATCAGCTTAGTCCTGATTTTGGTTTTCGGCTATGGGGAGGATGTTTGCTGCTTAGTTGTTTGCTCCTCTGCCCTTGGGTGATTATATTTAGGAAGTGCACTTCAATCTGTTAATTACCCCTAAATTTGTTGCTGCTGATTTTCATATGTTGTTACACTGAATCGAATAGCATGATATGAATGGTAGCTAAGTAGGAGTGAACTGGAAGTATCCATATACAATTCCCTTTTTTTTTTGAGAAACATAGTACAAATGTAGATGTTCACAGAGATGTGCATACACTCAACCCTATGAACGCACACACGCACGCACACCCTACCTTTATGAGCACTTCTGGGAAACTGAGCTAGCAAATGTTGAGATAGATGAAGTCACCACATGACCACAGGCACCTCTTAGTCGATGGGAACATCGTCTCCCATTGAATGAACATCGCCAAAAAGCCTGGAATAAGTTCAGGAAAATGCGAGCACCCATGCCAAGTATAGTACTTGAACCGGGTGGGTTGGTTCCACCACAAGGAACCTAATCATCTGAGCTACGCTCAGTTCGCCTCAAAGAAATGGTTTGACATTGAAAGGTTACGTAACTTGCTGTACTGGTGATACCATATGCAATTCAAATTGCTAGCGCCAACTGGCTTGGTGAAGATGAGTGAATACTCAATAACCTTATGATATGGTCTTTTTTTGTTTTATAATGTCGCGGGTGGTCTATTTATCAGCTATGCTATGCAGGCAAAAGATTATGGGAGATGCATAGCAGCAAAGGTCCCTGAGATTGAACATAATATGTGTTCTAAGGAGTTTCTAGCACTCAGAGCATGCATGCAAACTGCGGTAATGTTCCCATTACTAAGAAAATAGTTTGGTTGTATCAAATCGTACTGTTACAACTTTCACCTGTACAATTAAGCACCCAATTCAAATGGAAATGGCCTTTGGTTGTTCTAAATAAATCACTGTTTTCTTCTTGGCCAATAATCAACTTCTCTACCCATTTTTGTTCCTCCTCTTGTTTGTTTATTCTTTTTGTTCCACTGCTGCTGCGTACTCCGTCCATCTCCCCCCTATGACCATGTCATTTCCACCATCGCTGGCGGGGTTTTGGGGTGGATGGTGGCTCTCTGCACCTGTGGGCCTTAAAGGGATAACCGGTGGGGTCAGCATGCCGTCTGGGCATGTCAAGAACATCGGTGGGCAGATAATCTGGGAGAGAAGATGTTGGTGGTGGTTGATACTAGGAGGCAGATCCAGCGGTAATATAGCCGCGGCAACAGGGAAGATGGCGGGGGCAATGGTTAGATAGCGACTGCTGAGAGAGGGGGATGAGGTAACTGCTGGTGTTGGTGCTGGGGGGCAGGCCTCGTGACGCTAGAGCGACTCTTGTGATGTAGGGGGCAGCGGACCTTGGGGAATGGGTGGCAGTGAGGATGGGATGATTGGGAGGTGAGAGCAGGGTGAGAGAAGTCTAGAGAGTTGAGGGCTAATCTTGGTCCCATGGTCCAGAAATTTGACTGTTGGCCAATTGGAAACAGTTGACTGTCAGTGTGCAGTTCCTGAAATAATTTATTTTGTTGATTAATATACAGTCCCTAAATTAATTTATTTTTGTCAATTCATATACAGTGCTTACATTAATTTATTTTTTGTCCATTCATAGGCTTATGGATTTAAATTTGTATTTGGTTTCTAAAAGACTGCTTACAATCTGTGTAATCGTTTCATGCTTGAACGTGGATCTATCTTCCTGTCCTAACTTTCATTACTCTGCCCTCAAAGGTCAAGAATAAGGCTTGAAGTTCAAGGCGTCTGTAGTTTGGTGTGAACCACCTTTCAGTGTGATCAGTGTGCTCTCAGGTGAGTCTAGCTCTGTATTTTACGACTCAAAAGAAAATATGGATAGCATGGTGTTTTATAACCATGTAATAAGAAAAAGAGCTGTGCATCATGCTGACAGCAGCTCCCTTTTGTATCATGTTGGTAAACTGCAAGATCACTAATTGACTCGCTTGAAATAACAAATGAATTGTGCACAATCAGATGCAAGGAGGTTTGAGCAGCCCTGGTGCGCTCTCTCATGCTTATGTACAACATCCTCCGCTACGGTGTGACATTCCAGATATTAAGGGGCTATTCTATGATGATGCGAATAAGTTTCTTGTAGCCCCAACAGCTGATCGGGTATTTGAATATCTAATTAATTGACTTTACATTTCCGCTAGATACTTGGTTATCACAAAGTAAATTTGTTACATTGCTGCAGATATTATACTGGAAGATAGCTGCATCTACTCAATCTGGACCTCCAAACTCTGATCCAATTAATGAAGGCCCCATCTTATCAGTTCGATTTTCTCTGGATCAGAAAGCCATAGGGATTCAGCGATCCAGTCATGAGGTCGAGTTTAGAAATAGAGAAACAGGGGAAGGCTGTAGTAAGAAGTGCAGAGCAGATTCTGAGACCATACTGGGATTTTTCTGGACCGACTGTCCCACTTGTGATGTCATAATTATAAAAACAAGGTTTGTAAAGGTTTTGCTGCTGCAATATAAATAACAGAAACTTTATATGTTCTGCATCCAAATATCCAATTAGCCTATTGTCACAGGCTCACAGCCACAGGAGCACTTGTAAGATGTTCTTATTTTGGGACTGACTTCATTCATATTTTAATTCTATGTAGAAGGAAGCTATCCTGTTCTTTGGTTCATTTTTTGTGAAATGTGTCTCTATTGCAGTGGGTTAGATCTGCTTGTCTATGAGCCTCAGTCAAATGCTCTTCGGTTAGTGGAGTCAAAAAAGTGCAGTGCCACCTGGTATCTTTACACTCACGAAAGCAGGTTGCTTCTTCTTGCATCTGGAATGCAATGTACGCTGTTCACTGGATATCAGGTAATGCATTATGCACCCATTGAAGATAACATACCCCAAAGAAACAACTCTGATGAGGATTGTTTTTATACATGTTGATTGGTATTTAACTTTTCTTAACCATGCTCATTCTGGTGGGCTGATGCTGTAGTTGCGCTTTAAACTTTAAAGCAGATTCTGAGCTGAGACATTTTAAAGTAATCTTTGTGTAGTAGAGTGCAGGCTTGGAACTTTATTTTGAACATACTTTCTATTTCCATTAAATTGACATTGGTCATTGATTTAACATCGAAACTGTATGCTAACTTTTATATATGGTTCTAACAGTTTTCTGCTGGTGGGATCGTCAAATTGCCTAAGTTTGAGATGGTGATGTCTAAATCCGAAGCAAATAACAAGCCTGTCCTAGCTGCTGCTGATGTTCACATTGTAACAGTGTATGCTTTCTGTCCCTCTTTTTTTTTTACAAATTTCACATAAATTCCAATAACATTTCCCAAATTTGGCAGGTATGGTAGGATTTACTGCTTGCAGCTGGATAGAGTCGGCATGGCATTGAACCTGTACCGGTTCTACCGTGATGCTGTTGTACAACAGGTTTGAACCTGTACCGATGTATTTATGTCCAATTTCTTTTCTTATCAAATAAATGCTACCGTGACTCAACTTTGTACTAACTTTAGTACAAAGTTGAGTCATCTATTTTGGAACGGAGGGAGTACATGTCATGTTCAGATAGTTTCTTTCCGAGTTAGGTGTCTGTTTCAGTTTGTAGATTCCGATAATAAGTTTCTGTTTCTGTCATGTCTGCAACATATTCTGCAATGACTTTAATTTAAGGTGATTAAGATTAAGGTGACAGGGATCTCTTGTGTTTTCATTATCTTGTGTAACTATCCACTTGCTGGTATGATTGCTGACGTGTGACTCACGGTGGTTGCCTGACTTGAGATAAAGAACAGAGAAGAGGCACAAGAGGAGGAGACGAGTTTTTTGTTTATTCATCAGCCGCCGATTCAATCACAGCTTGCAAGCCCTTGTAGCCAACCCAACACACCCTGACACATAGGCCTCACATGCACACCGTGCTGCGGCACCACTTTCCACCTTCACAACTCATGCTCCATAACAGGACACTCAAGGGAGAGCGTGAATGTACCAAAAAAGCGATGTACAATCCCCAACTCCCCTTTAATAGTAAAGACGAGGGTAACTGTTGGAATCATATATAGTTCTTATAAGGGCATGAAGAATAGACTGTAATGTAAGCTTACGTTACACGCTTCGATTCCAGTGTGTTGTTTTCTTCCCTAGAAAGCTGCGGTAGCTGGAGCTAAAGTTGACACAAGGTCTATGAGTTGTGCCTCAGTTTGACATCCTGGGCCTGGTTAGGTTGTAGGAAACTACTCGGTTTACATTAAACTGTAGGTCTGTTTACAGTTACATAATTTATAATTAAAATTTAACTGTTCATTTGTCCCTTGTAAGTAAACACTTGCGTTCCTGAAAAGTTATAAACTGCTCTAAGTTTGGCTGAAAAATGCCATATTGCTGCTTTTGGCCAAGTTAAAATGAGAGATTTAAGGAGTGTCTTAGTTGGTGATCACAAAACCGATTAGTCTGGTCTAGGTTCTGAAATCCCTGTTGGGGAATGTTCTTCTATTTCGTCTGTCAAGAAAAACCGTAGTCCCCTAACTCACAGCTTGTTATTTCAGGGTACTCTCCCAGTATATTCAAGCAGAATTGCAGTTAGTGCAGTTGACAATATAATCATGGTCCATCAAATTGATGCAAAAGTTGTGATACTTTACGATGTATTTATGGATTCTTACGCACCAATATCTGCACCACTTCCACTGCTTGTGAGAGGACTGGCCAGCAATAGTAAGCAAGCAGCACAACCTGCAGATCAGCAATCAAGTGCATATGGCGGGACTTTATATGGAGAAGGTTGGAACTTTCTCATTCCTGACCTCATCTGTGATGCTGAGAATGGGCTACTCTGGAAACTTCATTTAGATCTGGAGGTAAGGAATCGTCAATGGATTATTCCTTGATTAATTCATCCTCAACACAAATACAATTTTCCTGACATGAGTAGCTTGAAATCTAGGCTATTGCTGCTAGTACTTCTGATGCTCCTTCGATTTTGGAATTCCTTCAGAGACGAAAGTCTGACCTGAGTATGGTAAAATACGATTTCACTACTTCGTGATAGTTCAGTTTTCGCCATCTATTACCATTGTCATAATATTTCTTATTGAAACTTATGGTTCAGGTTAAGACACTAAGCCTTGCTATAGTTCGAACAACCATCTTGGAAAGGAGGCCAATAACTTTGGTTGCAAAGGCAATGGATATCATTCTTGATTCATACTCTCGTTCGATGAAAATGGTAGGCGGTGCTGCTGGGGTTAGGAGGACGTCTGAGCAAAACCAACAGTCAAGTTTTCAGCCTGTTGAGGACTCCCGTGTGGTTTCTCAGGAACCTCCTGGAACCATGATTGGACCTGTTATCAACACTGATTCAGTAAGTGGGGTTGAGAGTAGACAGTCACAGTCAAATTCAGGAGTTGAGCATGGAATTGCTAACCTGGCAGCACATGTAGATAGGTCATCTTTAAACACATCCTCTGATTCTGACGGTATTGCCAATACATCGAGAGCGGTAAGTCAGGCAACATCAAGCTCCCTGATATCTGACGCCACTGGCAAAAGACCGCAGTTTGTAGGCGAGGATAGCCAACCATTGGCTTCTGGTACATCAATGCAGCATGGAACACATGTTGCTAGTGTGGCAATTTCACCAATTGAAATGGTCCAGTCCGTCTTTGTGCTTGTTGAAGATGAAATGATGGGTGATCCTGCATACCTTATTGCTGTCATCATGGAGTTTTTACGAAGGTACTTTTAGTTTTCTTTAAAATTAATTTAGAAGCAACAAAGAAAAGGAACACTAAGTATTGTCCTGTTTGTGTACAGCCTGTCAAAAGCTGGGCTGAAGGCTCCTCCTGACCTTTATGTCATGATGACTGCTTTGCTGGCCTGCAGCAACCGTTATGCTGAAATAGCACTGTTTGTATCGAACAAGGTCAGTATGTTATTCCAACACCATTATTAATGATCAATGTGGCAATTACCATTAAGTAGTCTAGCACAATCAATCATGATGTTGTATCTAAGGTCAATTTGTTATTCCAACACCACTGTTAATGATCAGTTGGCGATTACCATTAACTAGACTAGCACAATCGATCATGTCGTGTGTGCTGGTGGTTAAATATATTACCTTTTTTTCATTATTTCAACATCATTATTAATGATCTGTGCGGCAATTATGATTATAATGTCAGGCGTGCTGATGGTTAAATATATTACTGTTTTGCGAAGGAAATTGGAATCACTATATCGTAAGTAGGGTTAAATATGTTGACGAGTATGATTCCAAACAAACTGTTACCTTTCACATGCCTTAAATTTGTATGAATAGTGTCCAATCAAACAACCTTTTTCATCCATCATTGGATGAAAACTATATGAACTACTCCCTCCGTCCCATAATATAAGAACGTTTTTCAAGCTATGTTAACTTGAAAAACTTTCTTATATTATGGGATGGAGGGAGTAGATGATACCCCGCACATTGTTGTGGGAATGTTTTGCATATATTTTAATGAGATTTGGTTGTATGGAACATGAATATTTGGAGTAATAATATGACAACTAAAAATTAAAATACAAATGATTTATTGTGTTTGATTATTGTTTAGTTGTAAAATATTTATTAAATTTGAATAAAATAAAAAATCGCATGCATGTTTGCATGTTGAGGTAGCTTTTACTTACGCATGGGTGCATGTTGAGGTGGGCCTTTTCCCATGCATGTTGAATGATGAGGTGGCATTCTTGCATGTTGATAGAAATAGAAATAGGTTAGTGGGGGCTAGCTATTTAGATATAGAAGATAATGTCCAATCCAACATGATTGGAAACGAGCAGAAGCCATTCACTTCTGAAGGAAATACATATGTCAACTGTACTTTGCAGTTTCCTTTAAGTAGTACTATTAGTCTTTGAATATTGTTTATGTAAAGTTTCAGTTGAGGCTTGTCTCTAGTAGCATTGAGTATTGTTGAATCTGAGCCTGCATCTGACTCGTCTGATGACACCCCCCTGTAATTGAGCTTCGATCGACAGGCCTCTAATTGAGCCCATCAGTTCATTGCACAGATGGAGATTCATCGTGGCCATCAGATTTTGTTAGCATGAATCACTATGCTTTTATGCTTGCACGCTGCAGTGACTTTTGAGAGTTTCTACCAAAAAAAAAAAATTGACCTTTTCCATGTAAAAGAACAAAACAAATTGACCACTATCAACTCCCTAAGAATGTGGCCAAGAAGTATGGTTTCATTTTGGCGATGCACCAATTCCTGCAGATCCTAGAGCCGTCCAGGGAACTCGCAATGCAGCTCATTGAACTGGGTCGACAGCATTCACTGACAAGGAAGCTGGGAGTCGACATGCTCCGGGAGAGGTGCCTGCACCATGACTACGTGGCTGCATTACTCCAAGACGGGTACTACCTGGAGGCTCTACGCTATGCTCGAAAATACAAGGTATTCGCCTACCCTACTGATGCTATGTTATCTTTTTGGGTGCTTCTCATTGCTGCTTCCATGTGTCGATTTGAAAACAACTAGTTATTGTTGAGTGCTTCTCATTTCTGTTTCCACCCATGTATCAACTTGGAAACAACTAATTAGGAAGTGTTATTGTATACGTTGCAACTTACTACAACCAAGTTTGTTACTCTCTGAGTTGCTGATTGTCTGAAAATCGGTGCTCAAGTTAGTCCATCCTGACTTTGTCCGAATGCTTTGTTCCAACGGGATGTTGCTGACATGACGATTGGTTCAGGTTATCACCGTGCAGCCTTCCCTGTTTTTGGAGGAAGCCGTGGCCAAGAACAGCACGCCAAACCTTGCCGCCGTGCTGAGCTTTTTTGCTGAGCTCACGCCGAGCTTCAAGACGACGTCGGACTATAGCAGATATCGGCACATACTGTCGGAAATGGTCTGAACTATGCATCGTTATTCCGCGGAACGACTCTCTTTTTGATGCTCTTGAGGTTTGGAGGAAGCGTGTAATAATTGATGACTTTGTTCACCCTGTTTAAAAGATTTCTATGCTTGTACTCCGAAGTCATCGTTAACGGTCTCGGTTGCTTTGAGTGGATTTGCTGATTTGGCTTGGCTTTGGTAGCTCGCCTAAAAATTGGTTATAAAATACAAGAGCTGACAACGAGTCAATTTCGAGCAGACCTGAAAAGTTTGGTATAAAATACATAATATATCACGATGCATATTTTCATATTGTATATAGTTGGTATTGTAGATATAAATAATTTTCTTTAGACTTTGTCAAAGTTTGTAAGTTTGATTTCTCAAAAAATCTAGGTGTTTGGCTCAAGCGCAAGGGACAATTACATTTTTACCCCTAGTTAGTTCCTACCCATGGTTTTGCCCGTATTTTTTGAGCTTGCTCAGTTTTGCCCTTACTTTTTTCATCGAGGTCCCTCGAATGCCCCTTGACCGTTTGGCCAAAACTTTAAAAAATCATAACTAATTCATAAGAACTTAGAAAAATGCAAATAAGATATCAAAATGTTCAGATAAACATTATCTTTATGGGCATATCATTTGCATTCAGACAAAAGCTTTGTTTAAACTACCTGAGCTAATTAATGTTATTAACATGATTAAAAATAAATAGGTATAAACAATATTTTTTTCATGAATAAAAATCATATGCAAATGTAGGTGATGTTTTCTGAACATCATGGTAACTTATTTATATTTTTCTGAGTTTGTATCAACTTGTTATGAATGTTCTAACGACTTTAACCATTATTTGGAAACTTCATAACAAGTTGATACGAACTCAGAAAAATGCAAATAAGGTATCAGGATGTTCAGAAAACATCACCTACATTTGCATATAATTTTTATTCACGACAAAATATTGTTTATACTTATTTATTTTTAATAATGTTAATAACATTAATTACCTCGGGTAGTTTAAACGATGCTTTTGTCTTGAATGCAAATGATATGCCCATAAAGGTAATATTTATCTGAACATTTTGATATCTTATTTGCATTTTTCTGAATTCATATGAATTAGTTATGAATTTTTAAAGTTTTGGTCAAAGGGCATTCGAGAGACCTCGACGGAAAAAGTAAGGGAAAAACTGAGCAAGCTCGAAAAGTAAGGGCAAAACCCGTGGGTAGGAACCAACTAGGGGTAAGAATGCAATTGTCCCTAAGCGCAATGGAATGACGTTGGGACTGTAGACGTGAACGAATAAAACTCAAACTTGGACCGCAACGTCATCAATTCGTCTCCAGAAAAGAAAAAAGCTAACAAATCTCAAAGCAGCAGCCACGGCAGGGCTCTCTCTGGGTCTGGCATGATCGTGATTGCTGATGCAGTGGGAAGGCTAGCGGCCCACGGGCACCAGGGGTTGGTCGGCGACCGCGGCAAGCAGCACGCCCGGCGGCGACACCCTGTAGATGCGGTCGTCGCCGATGAACTCCTCTAAGAACAGGAACGACGGGCACCTCACGTTGCTGAGGATCGAGGGGAGGCAGAGGGGGACTCGAAGGGGAACAAGAAGGCGGCGACGCTAGGCTCGTGGAGGCGGCCAGGCCAGCGGCGCTGGGCTCGGGGAGGCGGTGACGTTGCATGACGAAGAGGAGGGAGTCGGGGAGGGGGGAGGGGGGAGGGGGGAAGGAGGGCTCGTTGAGTCGTGGGGGTAAGGGAACCCTTACCGATGGGTATACCTGGGCATACTTCAGGTGTTGGGGAACATAGCAGAAATTCAAAATTTTCTACGCATCACCAAGATCAATCTATGGAGTGACTAGCAACGAGAGAGAGGGGGGTGCATCTTCATACCCCTGAAGATCGCGATACGGAAGCGTTGCAAGAACGCGGATGAAGGAGTCCTACTCGTAGCGATTTAGATCGCGGTTGATTCCGATCTAAGCACTGAACAACGGCGCCTCCGCGTTCAACACACGTACAGCCCGGGGACGTCTCCTCCTTCTTGATCCAGCAAGGAGAGAGGAGAAGTTGAGGGAGAGCTCCGGCAGCACGATGGCGTGGTGGTGGAGCTGGTGGTATTTCTGCAGGGCTTCGCCAAGCTCTATGGAGGAGGAGGAGGTGTTGGAGAGGGAGAGGGCTGCACCAAGGGGATTAGTAAAGTGTTTACTATGCATTAGACTGATAAGAGAGGGATCCAGAAGAACGCCTGTCATATGATGAAAGGTGAATAAAACAACAACTTAAAGAGAAAGGAAGTGTCCAAAGGGTGTTAGTGTGACTTACACGCCTAGGAAGTCCGGGGCTAAAGCCACTCTTAAGTTGGGTGCTTCTTTTGCGAGTAGGAGAAATACTAAAAGTTAAACTGTTAGAGGTATAAAGGCAGAAGAAAGATGACTGGAATATCCAGCTCATGTATGAATGTCATACAAGTTTTTGATGTATAGTAGGCTGGTCAAAGATATAGTTCTTGGGAATTATGGTTAAACATGTTAATCACTAATTCTTGGGTATTGTGAGTTAATCACAAAGATACTCGCTCGATTGCATTCTGTTACGAATCAATGTAAGAGCTACTATGGCCTAAAAGGCTAGCCAGGAATGAGGTTAAGGTATACACAGGGAACATAGTAAATGTTACTATACCTTCAATCGGTGTATTGACGTCTATATTTATTTTCATAATTCATTTAGAGTTTTACAAACTCTAGCCCATTGCATAAGGTATCTTGCAAGAAGGTTGTTCATAAGAGAACTTTTTATGTTCGATGTTATGAATAACACAAGGGCCATAGTTTCATTATGAATGAGATGTATATTATGAATATTGATAATAATACAATACCTCTGGGTTTACTTTCATAATTCATTTTAGAGTTTCATACACTCTAGCCCATTGCACAATGTTTGTTGCAAAAGAGTTGTTCATAAAAACAACAATTGTTGTTAAGTATTATGAATAACATGAAGGGCCGTGCTTCCATCCAATATGGGACGTATGTTATGAATATTGATGGTAATATGATACATCCATAACACTAACGCTAAATGTCGCAAGACTAAAAGAATACCACACAAGTGTGGCACTACATTTGGTCACATTGGAGAAACCCGCATGGAAAATTCTATTATGATGGATTTTGAAGTCTTTTTGATTTTGAATCATCTGACACTTGCAACTTTACTTCGAAAAGTGAAGTGACTAAAATACCGTTCACAGGCCATAAGGAACGAACAACAAACTTATTAGTGATCATACATTTGATGTGTGTAGTCCGATAAGTGTTGTTAGTAGTGGATTTATTTATCTTCAGAAATGACTCAAGTAGATATATGGATATTTACTTGATGAGACGTAAGTCTGGATCTTTTGAAATCATTCGAAAGGTTTTCAAAAATGAAGTAGAAGTTACTGTAACAAGAAAATTATGTTTCTGCAATTTGATTGCACAAAGGAATATTTGAGTTACATGTTTAGCAAATGTTTGATGAGTTGTGAAAGGGGTTTCATAACTTGCACCTCCCGGAACACCACTGCAAGTGAAAAGTCCTTGGAGATGTAGTCTAACCATTTATGACATGGTAAGGTCAAAGAAGACATAAATAAATTTGCCATATCCCTTTTAAAGTGATGCTTTAGAGACTGTGGCTTTTACACTGAAAAGAGCTACATCGGGTCTGTTGAAATGAAGCGATGGTATGGTACACCCAACCATGTTATATATTTTCTTAACATTTGGAATATGGGGCTTGTGTAAAAGGTTACAAACCTATTCCAAATCAGACAAGTGCTACTTTGTAGGTTATCCAAATTATTGGGTTTTCCCCCACCACTATACCGAGGCAAAAAGTTTTGCCATAAAGAACGGTGTGATTTTGAAGAAAATTGTTCTTTCAAAAAGGTGAGTGGGAGAATAGTGCAACTCGACGAGATATACAATATCTTCGTCATCATATCAAAGGAAAGAGACCTTGGAAGTAATTCCAGAGTTTCCTACTACGACTGATATGGAAGTCTCTACAATAAAATGTATGAACTTCGGTCGAACTTGCAGCTGAACCACGTAGGCAAGGCTCGTGCAAACTTCTCAGGTGCGCAAACGAGATATTGTTGTAAGAAAACTTATACCTACGATACACAAGGAAGCGTTGATGGTCCCTGACTCCAAAATTGGCTAAATGCCAATACAACCCGAGTTAGTTTCCATATAAGTGATTCAAGATTAAAACCTTGATACACCTTTCGAAAGACTTAGAGTCTAACGAATATTTATGGAACTTAAAACTGATACGGATAAAAATGTTTTATCCATAAAGCTCGACTTGTTGAAATAACAAGTTCAAGAGTTGACTATGATGAGGTTGTTTTCATCGTAGCGATGCTTAAAGTCGGTTCGGGTTGAACTAGCAATTAATACATATTTCAATCATGAGATATGAAACATGGATGAAAATAGGATTTCCATTTGATGGAAATGAAACCAAGGATTTGCATGTGTTACAGTCCAAGGCATTTTGTCTATCCAGAGGATGCTAGTAAGGGTGCAAACTTCAGAGTTCCAGCGATGGACAGAAGAGAGCAAAATGGAGTTGGAATCTTCATGCTTTGATGAAATGGTCAAAGGGGTTTGACTTCATCAATGGGTAACAAAGATGCTTGTAATTCAAGAAAGTAAGTGGGAGCCTAATAATATTTCTAAAAACCTTGTGTGCTTGACACATTGTTAATTGGAAATAAATTTCTTGACACGAATTAGGACTTCATTTGAAAATAGTTTTTTGATGAAGTGCTTAGGCTAAATAGCCTCAATATTATAATGATCTATGGAGATAAATTTACCTAATAGGGCTAAGCAATGAATACATACTGACAAGGTGCTAAAACCTTTTTAGCATTTAAAACCGCCAAGGAGTGATTCTTGCCGGAGTCACATGGAAGAGTTTTTTGCAAGACTCGGTGTCCCAAAACACTGATG